AGCCAGCCGGCGCACGGCCCCCGGCTCGGGTCCTCGTCGAAGCATGTGTCGCAACACGGCCCAGCGACGGCTAAGCGCCGGAACAGGCACTGTGAGTAGGGCCTGTGCGCGGGGCGGTGAGGAGGCAGAGGACGTCTGTCATCATTCAGGCCCCGCGCGGTGCGGAACGCGTTGGCGGGGCAGCGCATAACCCGCGCAGGGTGTCTCACTTCCGCCCCCATGCACGCAACGGAATCGCGGCCCACCGAATTAAGCGGCGACCCGGTGCCAGATGCAGGCGGACGCCATGGGCCCCGCTCGTGCCACGGCAGTTTCGCAGCGTGGTGGGCCAAAAGGCAGGGAAAAGCGCCACAAAAGCCGCGACACCCACAGAGGAGCGGCTCCGCGACGGCAAGCCCCCGGTGCCGAAGAGAGCGTGACTCGCGTCGCCAGCGTCGGCCCCCACGAAGAACTTGTTGGCGTACTACACGGCGGCACTGACGTCCTCCTTCACAGTCGAGGAGAGCGCATCCCCCCTACGGCCGCTGCGTGCACTGCATAGCAGACATAAACGCACAAGAAAAATAACCTCCGTATGGTGTACGCGCACTACTGACACGTGTCGCATTGCACCACGCAGGTGAGATAGGCGCAGTCACCTCGACTAATATCGTTAGAAGTATGCCAATTTGGCTTCTGTGAAATGCGCGCCGCCCTGGCTCCATGTCTTCCGGGTTAGTCATTATTATTATTATTTTTTAATGATAAACCCAGCACATCCTGATTGCATGCCGCGGTAGGTGAAAAGCCACGGAATGCCCCCAAAAAACAAAACATTGTCCTGACACAGCGAGTGGCACCGCCAATGCGCAAAGCTTTGAAGTAACAAAGGTAAAAAAGAAAAAGACACCTAAATAAGGCCCTACTACGCGGGCATGCAAGGAGAAAAAAGAAAAACAAAAGAGAAACCTCCTAGCCCGTAGCACCCAACACGTAAATTCAAACATTTTGTATTACCAACGGAGAAGCACATATGCCAACCAATGCGTAGGGCAACCCACAACAACGAGGCTGTTCGTGCACTAACACATTGGTAGTCTCTGGTGGGGCCAATTATTAATTTTCCCCCGCGCACACAAGTGCGTCGACAGTGTTGTATGATAGAGGAAGAAAAAAAAATAACAATAATAAGAATACGTTAACAAACATATAACCGTGGCATTCCTCTGCGGTATTCCTGGTCCGCCAAAAAAAAAAATACAAATAGATAAACAAAGGTAGAGAAAGAGGAGTTTTAATTCTATACGCTTGCATTCCCCTAAGCCACATCAGGGGACACAATTTTCTTTACGCATTCCCCATCATAGCACTACAAAAAAGCAAAGGCGAAGCACCAAACAAAAAAGTATAGGCGAGCCGGTGTAGTCACGTTTAAGACATCAATTGGGAGCGGTGTAGCGGTGCGTGGGCTGTAGTGCATGCCATGCGCCTCTCTCATGTCTCTCTGAATCTTCTACTTGGCTGGTTGATGTTGCGTATTAATCAATCCATGTGTGACGGCTTTGTCACATAGTTTTACTCCAAAGTGTCTGCACGTAATGTTTTTAGCTGATAGTGGTCTTTCGTATTTTTCTTTTTAACATTTTATTGTAATTGGCTGTCAAATTGCTACAATGTATTTCTATCTGCATTATTGTTGTGTTTGTTTTTGTATTATTGGGCGTTTGTAAGTAAAAGAAGTCGTCCCATAGATGAGGGATTTTAGTACCACTGTTATTCCTTGTGTTTCATGACCAAGTTTTTCCATTTCAGCATCTGTCGCCGCGAATATCATTTTTGGAAGACCTCAAGAGGCGTTTGTGGTTCTCTTACAATTATGTTTTTTTTGTTGTTGTTATCTTCGCAAATCACTGTTGTGTAAATTTTACGGATATTACTGACTTGGAGTGGTAACTGATGTGTGTGTTGAAGATACTGTGAACCACCTATGACGCAGAGAGAGTTCTTGCTTAGCAGCTCTGCTGGTTTCCGCACGGAGAGCCCTGATTTCCCCTAGACCCAATGGGTCATCTTGTGCCTGCTTCAACATAATTTCTTAGCGACCTCACCCCTCAAGACGCGTGGTACACAGCCACCTGTCTCTCTATCTATCTATCTATCTATCTCTCCGTGTGCGTGTGTGTTGGTTCAATTGTTTTAAAGGCCACGAAATTCCATTGCTGTCACTGCGGATTATCGCCACGAACGCAAAAAAAAAAAAACAGCGGAGGCGGAAACGTTGCCGTGTATGGCCAATAAGTACTGTAGTTTTCTCATGAAGAGCAACGCCACCTCACAGACCGCGAAAAGGCGTTTTTTTTTTTACCCTGATTTGGAAGGGTTGACACTGCGGCCGCCGTGTGCTGCGGCGCAGGAGAGCACCGTGGGAATCGCGCCGACACAGGAAAACGGCAATGATTGATTGGGGAATCCACAGCGCGATTCACTGGGGAAAACTTTCCCCCTCCAGTCACCGCAGCACCATTCGAGGAGCTAAGCGCAAACGCAAAACAGAAACAAGACTACTGCTACTTGTGCCCCAAACAAATGAAGCCTTCAAATTCACTTGCCCCTCTTTTCATACATCTTTTTGCCTTCCCCCTCTTTTCTACACTGCGCAGAGGCTACACAACAAAAGAAGAAAAACATACATACACATAGAGAGAGACACAATCCCCGATATTATCATCGTTCCACAGAAGAGAAGCTTCATCATTGGGACTTTGGAGGAAAAAAAGAGAGCATGGGCCAATAACAAAAGTAGGAGTTCTTTATTTCCATCTTCCGTGCTGAGGTAGGGAAGAGAGGGAGTTAGGGGTTGACAGGGCGGGGGTTTATATATATGTGGCAAAGGAACTACAGGGATATGCGCAGAAGGTTGCTGTGCGGCGCACCCCAAAAAAACAAAGGCGAAGATGACGCACATTCACATAAAACAAATAGTGGGTGGTGAGAGAGAGAGAGAAAGATTTCATGGCAGGCCCCACACATCCACCTCTTTTACGTTTGTTTGTCCTCACACACTCCTCTTAGCCCTGTACTTCATGAATTTTCCTTTCCACGCCCCCTTCTTGCTCTCATTTCACCACTGAAATTATTATTATTTTAATTGTAAAACAAAAACAAAAAACTTGCCTTCCTCTTCTTCAGGTTTCGGTGACCCCTCCACCTCCCCTCCCCTCCTTTTCTACTCTCTCTCTCTCTCTCTCTCTTTTTGTTGTCTCCCCTCCTTCACTTGAAACTACAGGGGAGTGGACCAAGCATAAATAAGAAAGGTGATCAATAATAATAATAAAATAAGCGTTGGGGAAAGAAAAAAAGAAAATACCGTAAAAAAAGAAGCAGCACCCGTTCCTAGAGAGGATGCAAAAACCTCCAGTCATTCCCTCTTTCTTCCACTTTTCCCGTTTGCGCGGCTGCCGAAACATTACCACCGCGTTTATTGACTTTGCTGCTGTCCATCCTGGCACTGCAAAAAATAGTCCCACGCCCACTTGCAGTTTTCCGGGTGTTCTGCGTTTGCCTCAAGACACTTGGAGTAAGACTTTATTTGCGAGGAGCAGGCACCCTCGCCGACTTGTCGCGCCATCTCTTGCGCCTCTGCAGGCTGCGTGGGGGGCTGCTCTCGATTAAACAACATGTTAGAAATACCATGGCCGAGGACGGACCCCGCAGCAACAGAGGCCATGGTGCCAAGTATACCTGTGCCCCCGCCGCGTTGCAAATAGACGTTTGTCACTTGCGGCTGCTGCTGTGGCGGGGGAGTGTGACGTGCCGGCGGAGGCGCAGCGGAAGGGCGGGAATGCGAGGGAGATGCACGACGTGAACGAACCATTGTATGCCTTACTGTTTCGTCCTCTTTTTTATATTATTGCGTAAGCGCCTTTTTTTTTTTGTTGTGTGTGTGTGTGTGAGTGTTTACGGTGAGACGCTCTCGTTGCAGTGGTATCTTACCGCAAAATTCATTGAATAGTGAGGAGACAAGAAGAAACAACATCAATCGATCAGCGAGAAGTCACAAATCAACAGCGCAGTGTTTTTTTTGTTTTTGTTTTTTTCTTAGTTCCTTGTGATGTGCCTCTGTGCCTATGGAAGAGGTTCAAGAACCACGCTGGACCTCATTTCAGTTCGTTGGTATTGCAAGAAGAAGCAAACAAACAAACATACACACACACATACGCCCAAACAACGGTAAGGGAAGAGGTGCCCTCAAGAAAACGGTGGGATAGCAGACGATGAGGGCGGTAGCGGCGGTGTCTTTTTACAGCTCGAATCAACTAATATGTGTTGGCATTGTCCCCGTCCACTCAATTTCCTCACATAAACGCGTGGAGCACTTTCAGCACCTTCTTGGCCCCACACCCGGCCTCTTCACATATCCTCTCTCGTTTTTTTTTGCGTTTTTTTCCCTCGTTTTCATGCGCAGTGTCGTCTTGCAGATTTACTTTTTTTCCCCCCCTTTTTGAGCTCCTTCCTTTTCGTACTCCCCCAAATGTCACGCCTGCGGCGATGCATACTTTTGTGTCCATTCCCTCGCCGTCCGCATCGCAGCGGCTTCATCGCGCTTCCAACTCTCTGCTACCTCGTTGTCTAGCGGATCATCGGGATTGGGACTTGCCATAAGCAGCTGTATGCTCAACAACACCTTTATAATCTGTAGCGCCGGTGACCACTTGTCCTTGATGATGTCGAGACAGATGCGTCCCAGCTTATCCACGTTCGGGTGGTAAATGCGGGTGAGAAACCGCACTTTGGGTGGAACCATCGGGTATTCCTCAGGGAGAAAAAGTTCGAGGTTGAAGACGCCACCCTCGTAGCTGCTCTGTGGTGGGCCGCGTATTTTCACCTGAAAGTAGCGCGGGTTGTTAGGTGATGGTCTGGCCTCGATGCCCTCCGAGTGCTCTCGCTGCAGCTTCTCCGTCTCCTTGATGATTCGCGTGGTGAGGGCCATTGCCTGGGAGCAGTTGTGTAATCGAGCGAGTGTCGGGTTATCGGGTGGTGAGTTGTGTGTCAATGACTCCGGTTGCACTTCCCGTGCGACAGGGGTCGCGAAAAATATGGGGGTGCGTACATACACACAAGGCAGGAGAGGGCGAGAGTGGGAAAGAAGAAGAACAATCAGTGGAGACTCGGCACGGAGAGCAGACAGGGAAGAACGGCGCTAAACACACACACACGCACACACACAGCCAGAGAAGCGAAACGAGTGCACGTCCAGCCTGCAGTTGCCCTCACTTCTCACTGGTCCCATGCAGAGCCGCAAAAGAAAGAGAGAAGGACGAAAATAATAATAATAATAATAATAGTGGTAATGACGAGGGGGATATCGTGAAAACAAAATGATCCCCTCCCCTTCTTAAGAAAACAGATATATAAGACGCGCCCTGCACGAATAAATATAAAAACGACGCAAGACAAAAGAAAAAAAAACACCCCACAGCCATAACAGACACCGAAAAGCAAGCGTCAGATAAGTCGCATTGAAAGGGACGTAAAGTTGCATAAAAGGGAAGGGGAGGGGAGGGAGTGAAAATAAGTAATGACTTATCGTGTTCGCCCAGCGCACTTAGTCAGCTGAGAATTCAGACAAGTGCAGATAAAACACAAAAACAGCACCCGTCCATTAACAAAATAAAAACAAAGCGTTGGGATTAAACATATATACAAAAAAAAATCCCACAAAACCAAAGAAGAACGAAGCCGCCTTTGATACAAAATGACCACAACGTTTTCAATGGTCATGGGGCAATAGAAACTGAGACGTTGTCCTTAGGGGGCGTGTATCTAACATGCAAGCAAACACACCGGTTGTTATTAGTTCTGTACACTCACCCCGTGCATGTGCCTCTCTGTCTCTGGAAGTCTAAATGTCTGTAACGCATGACCATGTCGAGTATGAGTAGGCGAGCCCTATGGAGACGCGAGAAGAGATGCGTCTTATAAACAAAGACGAAGAAAAACACTTCAACGTAGCCATCTGGGGTGGGGTGAACAAAAAAAAACCAATAACGACGTCAGTAACAGATAAGTATATATGTGCTGCATGTGTGGACGTTGAGCATATATATATATATATATATATAAGTATCTATGTATGTATATATATATATATATATGGATATTCAGATGGGTATATATAAAGGTACATTGTGATATAAGTACCAAAATAAATAGGCACATAATGGACACATGGACATATTACAATATAAATATATATATATATATATATATATATATATATGAGTGAAGGTATATGCGTATATGACTGATAGATATAATGAAATGGAGAGAAACAAAAATCAAAATAAAAGTGAAAACAGGAAAAAAATATGTGGTGGGATGCCACTGCAAGAACAGGCAGTCATATACACCTACAAACAAAACATAATAATAATAATAATACTCCCTACTAAGAACATATGGAAGAAGAAAAAAGAAAAAAAACGGTTGATAAATGCATCTTCGCACGGTCAAAGTAAAAACGGACCCGCCCTCCGGTGAAACGGGCTATAAGTCATGAGAAGAGGGATGGAGCGAATGCTATCTGTTCTCCCCCAAGCTAAGGGCACGCAGGCAATCACACGTGCCCCTTCTACAAGGCAGAGTCACCTACATTGGCGACATCATCATTGTTAGCACAATTTTCTACACACCCGATACTTCACTGCAACTCAGTCAAAAATATAACCGAGCCGCAGAAACGGTAAAAAAAAAAAAATACGGAGTAGAAAAAAGGAAAAAAATCAAAGAATAAAAACCTAATAATAAAAAAAGGTCACGTGTAGAGTGCGTAGAAAACGAGACACACATACACTCAAGCATGACGCGTAAATAAAAGCGAAAAAGAACAAGAAAGTAGACCTATGGAAAAAAGGCCAAACAGAAATGCCAAAACAATACGGCTAATAACAAACAAAGGGCTTCTTCTTTCTCACACATGTGTACATGTAAATGTATACATGTATGCGCGCATGTACGCATACACATGTCTATCAACCTACACGCATCACAAGTCAAAAGGGACTCGTGGGTGAGTTGGTGGGTAAGACCGCTACCGCTAAGCTTTTCTCTCTCCTAGGCCTTACTTTAGGTCCCTGGGTAGAGCAGGATGTGTGTAAGACAAACATTAGTGTTTAGTAAGCAAGGCGTATTACCGTCACAACAGCAATGTGTTGTTAGAGTCAATTCAAAAGATAAGGCAACCACACACACACACACACACACACAGACAGAGAGAGAGAGAGAGAGAGAGAGATAGATAGTTAAGCTCAAAACCAAAAACAAGCAACGAAATATTTGAGGGTCACAGAGCAGATGCCGAGAAAGTCACACGGGAGCAAAACGACACACGCCGGAGAAATGAAGCAGCCCAAAATACTCGTTTCCTTTCGCTCACTATTATTCGTAACATGGTCTGTCCAACCTTGACGGCCTTGCTGCTATGTTGATCATCCGCGCCGTGAAAAACAAAAAAAAAACGTGAGCAAGAGAGAACGAGAGAAAAAGAGCCACTAGAAGAGCGCACAGGCGTGTGTGAGGGAGTCAACACTAACTTCGTCGTCCATTCTTTGTCTCAATCTCCGAGCAATTACCAAGCACCTCTTTCAGTACTGCCACCATGTTGTACAACTCTCGCTGAGCCGCCTCGTCAGCATTCCGAATGACGTCCTGAGCACAGCAGGAGGGAAGTCCACCCGACAGCTCAAGCACTCCGCCGGCGTTATTGCCATTCTTCGGTTTGTGGCGCAAAATGCCTGTTGGGGCAATGTGGAACGCCACCCACTCGAGCTCCACTGCACCACAAGTAACGGCAAGAGCGACGCCAAAGAGGGGATGCGACTCCATCCAACTTAGGGGCAGACGATGCAGCTGGCGGCGTCGACCAGAACCTCCTGTGCATCCATCCTTCTCAGCCGCGTCTTCATCCTCACCCGCAGTCACATTCATTATGAACAGCAGAATCAGCTCGCTGGCCAGCAAAAGTTTCTCCAACCTGATTTCATAGCGGGACTGAAACTCATCCTTTTCGTTAAAGGAGTGCGACCACCCCACTCGCACATCCTCCTCCTCTATCTGCCCCTCGTTTACGATCTGCTGCTCTTCTTCTTCGCGATGGGATTCCGAAAGGAGTTCAAGGGCGACCGCCCACCAGCGGGGTTCTTCCACGCAAAATCCGCATGCTCTGAGAACAACCGACTCCATCTGGGTGATATCCCTCACGTTAAGTACGCGCTGATGATGAAAAAAGGTTTCGTCAAGGATACGGAGCAGTACAACAGCACTGGCGTCGATGTCTGCATGTTTCCAACAGACAAGAAGGCAGGCGGCCATAACAAGAAGATGCTGACATGCACTGAGGGTGTCAAAGTCCTTCACCTCCTCCCGGCACATCACCGTGTGCGCGTAGCTGGCCAGTAATTGCAGCGCTGTCAGCGGCACCTCTGCCGCCTTTTTCCACGAGAACTGGTGATCCTTCAGAGCAAGAAGAAACCCGAATCCCATTGACAGCATGGTGGCGGCAAGCTCGTGGTGACGCTGCAGAAACCATGATAGCGCCACAGAGGCTTTCTTCGGCTGACGCAGAGGTTCCCCTGTGTGAGGTAAAGAGAAGTTCTCCGAGAAAAACAATCGAACCTTGACAAAGTCCACCGCCCCAGAAGGGACAGAGTGAGGTTCTTCTTCCTCTTTCTCGAGTATCTGAAATTTTGTTTCTGTCGTTTGTACCACCTCATCTGTGTATGAGAGAAAGGCTGTGAAAAGAGTTGGACTAATGTCCTCAACAGCATGAACAACAAGTGGAGCATGAAGTATCTGTGATGACAGTAGAGATTCTGTTATCGCTGGTGCCCCGCTGTGGTCTTGCCGCTTAGTCTGTGACATAGTCACATGCGTTGCTCTGGACTGAAGACTATATATTTCTGTGTTCTGTCGGTATGCACCTTCCACCTCACCAATGATACAATGAAACCTTTGCGTGGCAAAGTCTGTCGTGGGCGAGGAGCCCCCCTCGTCGTCAAGGCTGGCACCGAACTTGCCTGTCCTAGTGGTGGACCCGGCATACGCGGAAGTAAGCGGAGACGCAGTGCAAGTGCATGTCAACCTGTCTTTCCTCCTTGCATTCACCTCGGCCAAGGCGTCCACCCTCTTTGGCAATGACCTTCTGAGGGTGGCGCAAGTATCCATTTTTCGTCGTCTTCCTCGTTCTTGTTTCCTCCCCCTTTGTGTCCCCCACACCCACGCTGTCTGTGGTTGGCAAAGTAACTCCACGTGTCAAGTTGCTTTCTTCTGCAGAGGCGGAAAAAATAAACAAGTTATAAGACAAATGAAAAGCACATGTGCGGAAGCCGCAGAGTCTAAACAAGAACAACTAAATAGTCACCAAGGGACAGGACAACTGGCAACGCCTTGCGGCCGGAACAGGCAAGGAGAGCCAAAAAGTGTTGGGTGTTTAAATGACGATGGCAGCAAGAGGCGAGCGGCAAAAAAAAAAAAGGGACACAATCACAAAATACACAGAAATAAAAAATGCAAGGAGGGGGGGGGTTCCTCGCCCTCAGTCACTTTATAGCATTTTTATTTCGGTCTTCGGTCCCCACTAACTGAACAACAACAACACAGGGGAAAACATAAACAAGAACAAGAGGCAGAAGCACGCACATTGTCCCAGTAGTATCATCAATGAATAGAAACCACAATGCAGCTGCGACGGAGAGAGGGCATAGCGGCCTCGCAACTTCGAAGACGCGTCCGTGATGTACCATACACGCGTTGAATTCCTTCACTTGCACCGCCCCACAAATCCTCCCTGGTGCCCTCGCCTCCCTTTTACATATCCCCCATTCTTCGGGAGGGTAGGAAGGCACTACACGTCACACAGCACAGCCATGTCATGTACCCAAGAGGTCCATTACCACCTGCACAATGGGTGCGACATTTTCAATGTTAACACCAATGGAATCCAGTGCATACGGTAGTATTGCACCAATCAACACGGAGGTAAAAACAACGAGAAAGAGAGAAAGGGAAAGCGCCATGACAATCGCTGGCCCCTCACTCCACTCTGCTATGGTCAGCCAAGACGACACTATTTTGGGTGCCCTGGTGAAGTGTGTTTTAGTATTACCGGCATCGCCATGCTAGAGGAACAGAATCACCCTCAGTGCCCCGATGCACATAAGAATAAAACCACAGCAAAAAAGCAACAATCAACTCATAACGCAGAACGGCACAGAGAGACAATACCGCAGGTCGATGTTCTCTTTTACTAGCACTAACATCATTTGTATTCAAAATTTTCTCACAACACCGCGGCAAAAGCCTCTTCAGGCGCACCCACCAAGAGAAGCAGATCACAGGCCGCTCTCATCCCGTTAACTGCGGAGTGCAAGGGAAAGATGTTAATTTGAGCATGAAGGGGGAGTAGCTGCTACTCTTAGGTGATAAATAGTCTACTATGGTGCGTTCTGTGCCTCCTCGGAAAGCCTGTCCCCTGCTATCACCATATTCATGGGAAACCAGGACGGCAGTAATGACCGCAGCCGCTGTCTGGTTGCCGCGTTCCCCCTTGCCTCATCAACCATGCTCATGAAAAGAATTATCACTACATAATTCTTTATGAGCTTCTCGTGCCAATGCTACATTAATTGCGAGCCAAACTGCAGGGCAAGTTAAAGCAGCAAGCACCACAAAACGCTTTAGCGCCATAATGTAGGTGGGCCCTTCCAGAAATTCACCCGGCAAACACCGAGTTAACATTTTGCTGCTGGGGCCACCGCTTTTACTAACTGCCCATGTTGTTCGACTCCTTTTTGCGCCACTGTCTTCTTCCCTCGTCCGCACCGGAGAACCGCAATCCCGACCAGCGGTCCATTTAATCTTGTCATACTTCAAGAAATTGTTGCCATCAAAACTGTCAGACATCCCACGCAGGCCAACCCAAGAGGGCATCTCGCCACCACTTTTTCACATCTGCGGAGGGCTCTCTGAACAAGTCAAAAGGAGATGGCTGCCAAGAAGAACTCTCGCCTCCCCGTAATAGCAAAAAGGAAGCACTGATGCCCAGGAGGACCTTCGCCACGTCAGCAGCAGCAAATCCCGTTTGTTCCTTCTTTTAAAAAGGGGCAGACAAAATGAAGAAAGAAGACGCTTAAAGAGTTGGGCAGCCGCAAAAGCACCCCAAACTAAAGTGCAAGAAAATATCAGCCACGAAGAAAAAGGGTGCAGCAGGAAAAAGTCATATGTATATGTTTGGGCCTGGCGCCTCCTACACCCAAGACACAGCTAATCTGCAACCGCACACAACTAAGTGGACGCCAAAGTAATAAACCGAGAGAAACCAAGAGATCATAAATCAAAAAAGGACAAAAAAAACAAGCGATAGTAGAAAGGAGTCCATTGCATATATATATATATATATAAGGTAGAAATAGAGAGATAGAAAACAAGAACGTACAAGTACCCTTTTAAAGGTCCGCCACGCACGCACACCAACTCAACTCGACACAGACGAACCCTGTAACCAAACCTTCTCCACAAAATAAGCCTCACGCACACTCCACCACACACTCTAGAAGGTGTGTGCCACGGCCAACAAGACGCCTTGAATGACTCTGCAAACACACAAACAAACACGCAGCATCAGGCTGCGCCTACTCTGACGGAGAAGCTCTGCAACGCACCGCTGCGCTCGACAACAAAAGGCACCATTACACCCGGAGGCAAAC